TTTATTTATTTATTTATTTATTTATTTATTTATTTATAAGCTAACTGTTCCTGTTCTCTTTGGCTGCTATTTTTATGGGCTGAAGAGGTTCTGAATGACTAAGAACAGTTTTTGATTAATTAGATTTTTGTTGCCAAGCAATTAATTTGGTCCCCCCGCCCCCACTCCTCTCTTGCTCAAAAAGCACACAAGAAAATGATTTCAGCAGTGGGGATAATTATAGAAAATGTGGTGTTAGCTCAAACAGAGTGAAAATACTGTAGACTTTGTGTTGTTCTCCAGGACCACTATCATGGAAAGAAAAGAGTGCACATTAAGAGAGAGCAGACACCAGACTGGGGACCTCACAGTCACTATCTGTGCTTGCCTCTCTGACCATCTCAAAGAGAATCATTCTCAAGATTTGCGCCTGGGTTTTAGTGGGAGGACAGGAGCCCATTGGAATCACTGGGTAGACTCAGGTAGGTAACAAAGGCCCAGCAAAGGCACAGGTGAAATCGAGGCCCTCCTTTTTCTGGCACTTTCCTTGCCTGGTGGTTGTAGTTTCTCTCTGGTGCATGCACATATACAGCCCTATTGCAGGCTCATGCCTGTGGGTTTAAAGTCAGAGGGCTGCGGGGGTTGCTTGTTAAAAGGCAGGGAATAGGGTGGCTCTGCAGGGATGGGGGGATGGGGGGGGGCAGGGGAAGAGGACAGTCTCACACCAGTGATCCAGGTTGGAACGGAGAGACTGGAGGAGTCCACCTTTACTTCCGTTTGATTGAACTTGTCTTACACTTTCTAGATTTATTCCTTCATTTTGCTTGAACGCTTCCTAGGAAAGGATTCACGGGAATACACTGTTTCCATTTTTGCAAGTCTCAATATTTCATTCTGCTCCCGTCAAGATTGGTTATAGAATTCCAGTCTGAGAGCTAGAATCTTGAAGGCATTTCTGCTACCACATTGTTACTCAAAGTGTGGTCCAGGGACCACTGTCAATCCGAAAACTGGTTGTCATCCATCTGTGAGAGGAGATAAGTGCAGAAATTGAAAGTAAGCATTTCTAAACTTTTATATTAATTTGATTGTGTCATTTTTATGTCTGTTGAAGCTGATAATAAAATTTGGGCCTGTATGCATCTTTTTAAATTTTTATTTTTCCTAGTAATTCTTTTGTACTCTGTATTATAAAAGGAACAGTCAGTGATAGACTGGAAACAAAGTAAAGTCCTTCACTACATACTTTGAGAAGTACTGTTCTAGAATAGTGTTCTAGAACAGTCTTTTGTCAGTGGTCTTGGAATTTTGTAAGAGCTTTGTTTCTCTCTGAAGTATATTGGGTTTTCTCTGTATCCTTAGGGTTTAGAATTTCACTGTGAGAAGGCTTAGTGAGGGCATCATTGTGCTGGGCCCACAATGGGTCCTTCAACCTGGAGACTCATTCATTTATTCATATAAGTTTTTCCTTCTATTTTTTTCTCTTCTATTTTTTCTGGAATTCTTGTTAGTTGGATATAGAGCCTCCTGCTTCAAATGTTGACTCTTTTATTTTGTCCCAATATTTTCAGTCTCTTTTTGCTTTACTTTTCATAAGATTCTTCAACTTCATCTTCCAACTATTTCATCTGCTTAAGCAGGTTATCACTTATCATTTTTACATACTATTATATTTTTAATTTTAAAAGCTCTTTCTTATTATTTGATTACCTCTCATATAACATTCTCTTTCTTTTTTTTTGATAGGCAAGTGTCAGTTTTTTGTTTGTTTGTTTAGGAAACGGATAAGTCTGCTTCCTGCAGTATATTGTTATCAGAGTTTGTTCACTGATGCTAGCAGAGCCAAACACTAACCACCAAGAATTGCAGAGGAGAAATATTGGCTACTTTATTATAAATGGCACCATCCAGGAGAACGGAAAGCTGATGCTCAAAAGCCTGAACTCCCTGATGGCATGTAGGCTACAGATTATTTAGGTCAAAGTCACAAACACCATGGGCTATGGTTTTTTTGTGTGCTGGGAGCTGATACGCCGGAGGTGAGGTAAGGGCAATAAATCATTTCTTTAGGTCTTGAGGACAGTTCTGAGGTCTGTTCTGGCGTCCCTCTGTCTGGTTTCATGGGAAAATAACCAGGGGGTCGTTCCACCTTAGGGCTCAGGAGCTGAAACATAATTTAGGTCAAGATGTAATCTTCAGCCTGCAGAGGTCCAGACCTTGTGATCATTAGTCAGATGCAGGCTCCTGTCTTTTGCTGCCTCAGGTATTGTTGATTATCAAGGGAATGACTAGGTCTCTGAAGGGGTAGGAAAAGGGGGGAGAGAAAGATGATTTCTAGAGCTAGGATTTAAAGCTAAATTTAATCAAGGCCATAAGGAACCTCTCTTTCAATGTTTCTTTTTTTTTCTATGGATTGAGTTTAGCTTCTCTTTACATTGATGACTCTTGTCAAAGATCTTGGTTGTCCATTCCTATCTAATAATAAGGCAAAATGAAAGGGCTGGTCAATGGCTCTGTGTATGAGTATGGATATGGGGCTTGTCAATTGGAAGACCACTCTTGGGTGACCGGGTGGGAGGCTAGCACTGGGAGAAACCCAAATATCAGTATGTAACAGTCGTTTCTTTGAGACTGTTCAGATTCTCCAGAGAAGAATTTCCTGATCTCCTCCCTGGGGAAGGGTGGGGGTGGGCTAGGGTGATGGACATATCCAGCTGCTGGGGGTCTGCATCTCTGGCGAAAGAAGGCCAGGGTCTCCAAGTTCAGATACAGACCGTCTGCAGCTCTGCACTGCCCCTGCCCTTCATGGCAGTTTTGATCAAGTCTTGAGCTTCTCCAAGGTTCCAGAGGGCACACTGGCACTCTTTTTTGCCTTACTTTCCTCTGTAAATATTTGTGCCTCTTTTGTCTGCTAAATCATCCATTACTCTTCCATTAATTTTTCCTCTTCCAGAATTTATTGAAATCTCTCATCCACTCATGCCCCCTTTCCTATTCCCTTTGTCTGTGATCAATAAACAATTTAAACTAGAAGACTACATCCTGTACTTTTAGAGGTAACTGTGCAAGATTGAATATTTGTTCATATTCAATTTCTTTTCATTAGTTTCAACCCACTTTGGACTCTATGTTGTGATGCATAGGTTAGTAGTCATGTCTTCATACAACTTACTGAAAATAATGTTGAAACAAGATAGGATCAAGCAGATAGATCAGTGGCATATTCTAAAGACCTCCACTGATGTAAACAGACACTGTGTCTGTCTTGTTCGTATGTGGAATCTATCCCTGGCATGAGAACTTCGTTGTTTTACGGTAAACATTTGCTGAATGTAACCTTCATATCAAAGAAAGACATGAGGATGATCCCGTGACATTTGTTCCCAGCAACCCATGCTGGTCATGCTGCTTACCACTTCCCTCTTGCTCATGAAATATTATGATTTAATTACCCCTTATAGGACTTTTCCAGGGACTGATATTCAATTCATGGGTGTGTCTTCTGAAAGATGCCTGGTTGCCTTTCCTAGCTCCTCTCCTGGTCTCACAGATCCTAGTTCATTACAATGCTGGTACTGGAGGTGCTTCCTACCTCGGGTTTTTTGGGTGGCCCATACATCTCATTGATTTGATTTGATTTTAAAAAATTTATCTTTATTTGTTGAAAGTTCCCCTTTACAGATGTCCCCCTTTTGTCCCCATTGACCCCTTCTAGCCTGCCCCCTCCCTCTGCTCCAAGCCTTCATCACACTATTGTCTGCATCCATGAGTTATGCATATATGCATATAAATTCTTCGGTTACCCAAAGAACCAGCCAATGCATTTTATAATCTCTAGATTGGTTACATAAAACATTTAGAGTAACTTTGCTAGATTTTCTTCTGAACCTTTCTTACTTAGAAATATAGATGAGAAAGGGGAATTTTAAGTGGGGATTTTTATCAATTGATAAAAACAATCAATTCCCTAGGAATTGTGGTTTATAACAATTTGCTTGTTTTGGATCCCCAAAAAGCAAATACAGTAGGTCAATGTTCCTTACATGACAAAGAAAGTGAGCAACTGAAATAGAAACAAAAGTTATATAATAGCTTTTATACCAGCATCAGAAATGTCTCTGGCCTGTGCACTATCAATTTATGAAATTTCTACCCAAAATGCAACCAATTCTGCTTGGCAAATTTCCCACAAATTTTAAAAGAAATGAAGAGAAACCTGGTTTGCCCTTTCTTGTTTAATATTACTAGATTGTTCCATTTTATGGAAAAGCCTTTCAACATTAACATTTTAGCATGCCACAGGTAAAAATTTTATATTAGTGAAAGAGTATAGTATATGATTAGGAGTGTGGGTTTTTTAATATTTCCAGGATGAAAACTAAACTTTGTTATTTACTAGATATGTACACAGGAAAGTACTTTAACCTCTTTGGGCCACATTTTGTTCATTTGTTCCTGGAGATAAAAATAGTGCCTACATCGCCTTGGCCTGGTAGCTCAGTTAATTAGAGCAGCTTCTATCTCCAGTCAGGGCACATACAAAAATTAATCAGTGGATGCATAAATAAGTGGAGCAGCAGTACTTTTTCCCTCTCTCTCTCTCCCTTCTTCTCTCTCTCTAAAATCAATAAATTAAAAATTTAATTTTTTGAGGAAACTTCATACTGTTTTCATAGTGGCTGCACCAGTCTGCATTCCCACCAGCACTATACTAGGGTTCCCTTTTCTCCACATCTTCACCAGCACATGTCATTTGTTGATGGTAGCCATTCTGAGAGGTATAAGGTGATATCTCATTGTTTTAATTTGCATCTCTCTGATGATTAGTGACTTTGAGCATTTTTTCATATGTTTCTTGGCCAGCTGTATGTTCGCTTTAGAGAAGTGTCTATTTAGGTCCTTTGCCCACTATTGATTGGATTGTTTGTCTTCCTTTTGTTACGTTGTATGAGTTCCTTATATATTTTGGATATTAACCCTTTATCAGATGTATCATTGGCAACTATGCTATCCCGTATAGTGGGCTCCCTTTTCATTTTGTTGATGGTTTCTTTTGCTTTGCAGAAGCTTTTTATTTTGAAGTAGTCCCATTTGTTTATTTTCTTTTGTTTCCCTTGCTCTAGGCAATGTATCGGCAAACATACTGTTATGAAAGATGTGTGAGATTTTGCTGCCTATGCTTTCTTCTAGGATTTTTATGATTTCACAACTTACATTTAAGCCTTTTATCTATCTTGAATTTATTCCTGTATATGGTGTAAGTTGGTGATCTAGTTTCATTTTTTTGCAACATAATATTCAATGGGCAAAAACTAAAACCATTTCCCCTAAGAACAGGAACAAGACAGGGATGTCTGCTTTTACCACTCTTATTCAGCATAGTACTGGAAGTCTTAGCCACAGTGTTCAGACAAGAAGAAAACATAAAAGCCATCCGAATTGGAAAGGAGAAAGAAAAACTGTCATTACTCTCAGATGGCATGATATTACACATAGAAAACCCTAAAGACTCCATCAAAAAGTCACTAGATTTAATAAATGAATTTGGCAATATAGCAGGATACAAAATTAACACCCAGAAATTGATGGCATTTTTATACACAAATAATGAACTCTCAGAAAGAAAAACTAAAAAATCCCATTTACCATTGCAACAACAAAAACACTAAGATACTTAAGAATAAATGTAACCAAGGAGGTAAAAGACCTGTACTTGAGCCCTAGCCAGCTTGGCTCAGTGGATAGAGCGTCGGCCTGTAGACTGAAGGGTCGCAGGTTCCTTTCTGGTTAAGGGCATATGCCTGGGTTGCGGGCTCAATCCCCAGTGCAGGAGGCAGCTGATCAATGATTTTCTCTCATCATGATGCTTCTATCTCTCTCTACCCCTCTTCCTTCCTCTCCGAAAGCAATAATAATAATAAAAAAGACCTTTTCCCAAAACTACAGGATGTTGAAAAAAGAGATAGAGGAAGATATGAAACAAATGGACGAATATGCCATGCTCATGGATTGGTAGAATTAACATCATTAAAATGTCCATGATACCCAAAGCCATCTATAGATTCAATGCAATCCCTATTAAAATACCAACAGCATATTTCGCATATCTAGAACAAATAGTCCAAAAATTTATTTGAAATTAAAAAAACAAACAAACAGTGGCAGCAATCTTGAGAAAAGAGAACAAAGTTGGAGGGATCACAATACCAGATACCAAGTTATAGTACAAAACCACTGAAATCAGAACAGCCTGGTACTGGCACAAAAACAAGTATATAGATCATTGGAACAGAACAGAGACCCCAGAAATCGATCCAAACCATTACACTCAATTAATATTTGACAAAGGAGGCAAGACTACACAATGGAGTAAACATAGTCTCTTCAATAAATGGTGTTGGGGAAATTGGACAAGCACATCCATATCTCTCATTTAAAATAGCTTGACTGTCTTACTAGTTCTCTACCTTGTGCTTCCATGTCTTCATAATCATGCACATTCTGTGCTTTCTAGTTTGGAGATTATTGTCCTTGACAGAACTAAAGGAGTTTAGTTTTCTTTCTTTCTTTCTTCCTTCCTTCCTTCCTTCCTTCCTTCCTTCCTTCCTTCCTTCCTTCCTTCCTTCCTTCCTCCTTCCTTCCTTTCTTTAAAAAAAATTGGTGAACATGGCCCTGAAGCATTCAGCTAGTTGCTTCCTTCTTCTTCTTGGTCTAAACATTGACTTTAAGAAAGGGATGATAAAGGATTTAAACATAAGATGGGAAACCATAAGAATCTTAGAAGAATCCATAGGCAGCAAAATATCAGACATATGTCATAGCAATATCTTTGCTGATACAGCTCTAGGGCAATGGAAACTAAAGAGAAAATAAACAAATGGGACTACATTAAAATAAAAAGCTTTGCATAGCAAAAGAAGCCATCAACAAAACAACAAGAAAGATCACTGCATGGGAGAACATATTTGCCAATGTTTTATCCGATAAGGGCCTGATCTCCAAAATTTATAGGGAACTCATATATCTTAACAAAAGGAAGAGACATAATCCAATAAAAAAAATGGGCAAAGGAGTTAAATAGACACTTTTCAAAAGAGGACATACAGAAGGCCAAGAGACATATGAAAACATGCTCAAAGTCACTAATCATCTGAGAGATGCAAATCAAAATGACAATGAGGTACCATCTTACACCTGTCAGAATGGCTATTATCAACAAATTGACAAATGACAAGTGCTGGCGAGGATATGGAAATAAAGGAACTCTTGTGCACTGCTAATGGGAATGTAGATTGGTGCAGCCACTGTGGAAAACAGTATTGCGTTTCCTCAAAAAATTAAAAATGGAACTCATTTGGCCCAGTAATCCCACTTCTAGGAATATATCCCAAGAAATCAGAAAGGACATATGCACCCCTGTGTTCATAGCAGCACAATTTACAATAGCTAAGATTTGGAAACAGCCCAAGTGCCCATCAGCAGATGAGTGGATTAAAAAACGCTGGTACATATACACAACAGAATACTATGCTGCTGTAAAAAAGAAAGAACTCTTACCATTTGCAACAGCATGGATGGACATGGAGAGCATTGTGCTAAGCGAAAAAAGCCAGTCAGAGAAAGATACATATCACATAATCTTACTCATTTGTGGAATATAATGAAGAACATAAACTGATGAACAAAAATAGATCCAGAGACAGAGAAGCATTCAACAGACTGTCAAACTTCAGAGGGAAGGCAGGGGAGGGTTGGAGGTGGGGGGGTAAGAGATCAACCAAAGAACTTGTGTGCATGTATATAAGCATAACCAATGGACACAGACACTACGGGGGTGAGGGCATGTGCTGGGGGATGGGGGTGACTTGGGAGAGGTCAATGGGGGAAAAAGGAGACATATAATGCTATATGTAATACTTTAAACAATAAAGAATTTTTAAAAAGGAGATGGAAAGAAAACATTTGATCAGGTGCTTAAAATCTTACTACAGCATTAGTTTATTTTACTTTAGTATGTTCAATGGCTCCAATGGAAAGAGGTTGTTTTCCTTGGTTGGGAGACCTATTTCATCTTAGTGTTTTTAGGACACCTCAAGGTCTAGCCACAGTTGATGGAAGTAGGGAAACTGAGGAAGGTGGAGAGCCTTGGAGTGTCCATGGAGGTTACAGTGAGAATCAGAACTGCTGGATCATGGCAAAGTGAGGTCAAGACGTGGCCCTATGGCTCTGAAGACCCTGCCTGCCATGACACGTGACCACCTCTTCAAACTCATCTCAAACCACATTCTCCTTATTTATTTTCTTCCTCAAACCCACTAAGTCTGATCCTACCACCAGGCTCTCCGTGTTTGTGTTCTTTCTACCTGATACGTTCTCTGCCCAGGTCTGTGCATTTGAGCTCTTTCTCTTCACTCTGATTTGAGCTCAAAATCATCTCCCCCAGGAGGTCTTCCCTGACCATCTCATCCAAACTGGGCTTTCCCTTCTCCTGCCAAGGAACCCATTTCCTTTATTTGTCATCTTTCTATCATGCATCATTATCAGAATGTTTCTTGTTTATTTGTTTACTTGCTTAGTTTGTCCTCCTCTGTCTCCTCCTCTGTCAAATGTAAACTCTGGGGACTTGATGTACTTTCCTCCTTCTGATTTGCAATGCTCCCGCCAGAGCTTGGCTCACTAAAGCAGTGGTTCTCAACCTTCTGGCCCTTTAAATACCAGTTCCTCATGTTGTGACCCCAACCATAAACATATTTTCGTTGCTACTTCATAACTGTAATTTTGCTTCTGTTATGAATCGTAATGTAAATATCTGATATGCAGGATGGTTTTAGGCGACCCCTGTGAAAGGGTCGTTCGACCTCCAAAGGGGTCGTGACCCACAGGTTGAGAACCACTGCCCTAGAGCAAAGGTTTGAAAACTACGGCCCATGGGTCTAATCTACCCCTCCACCTGTTTTTATAAATAAAGTTTTATTGGAACGAGGCCATGCTCATTCCTGTCCATATTACATATGGCTGCTTTCACCTTACAACAGCAGAACTGAGTAGTTGAGATAGAGACTATATGGTCTGCAGAGCTGAACATTTTTACTATCTGGCCCTTTAGGAACAAGTTTGCCGACTGCCACACTAAAGGGAAGATTCACTGCATTACATCAGACCTTTTTTCATGTGAGTTGATGCTATAATGACAAGAGGCTTTGCTGCTTCCTAGATCAGAGGTCTCTTTCATGCCAGTGATGTTAGTATATGTTCCTGTTCATGAAATTGTTGGCCTTGGCAACCCTCTTAATTCTGGTGGAAGACTGCTTTGACCTAAATTATCCAGAGAACAGAGATCAGTGTGTTTTCTCTAATTGTTAATTATCAGGATGACACATGGTATGAGCCACTCTGCCTGCCTGTCTTTTAATCTAGAAGAAGGGCTTAGCAACCCGCCTCGGTTGCATGAAAGATAGACTTCAACTGTAAGATTTTATTATTTTTATTATTTCCCTTTGCTTAGATCTCTATAAGAATCATGATGTTTCCAAGGCAACGCATGGCTTGGGGAATTGGAGAGAAGAGTCTGGATGCAAAGGGATAACATCATAGCCACCACAACAATCTATCCAGCACGCAGATGTCGGATGTTCAGAGGGACCAAGTCATCTTGATTAGAATTGAGGTGGCATGAGTTTCAAAGCGGAATCCTCATGCTCATGCTCAATAAATTTGCAAACCTCCCTGTACTGCAGTGGAGAAGGGAATATGCTTAAAACAATGCTGGGATTTGGCCCCGGGCTTATTCAGGTGTGGGGATGATTGCCAGGGAGCATGCTATTACCTTGCCAGGATGTAGATGCTTCTGAATCTCTTTTCTGTTGTAGGCGTGTGTTGGGAACACAAGTTTCCTTTTCTTATCCACCCCCAATATTAGGAACTCTCCAAATTGCCACATCATTTTCCCTGGGATGACACTCATTTCTTTAGAAATAAATCTTTAAAATGTTTATTATAAGAAAGACATTTTATTGTAGAAAAGCCAGGACATACAGTTATTTAAAAATAAGAAAGTAAAAACTCAAACCACCACTCTCAGATAACCATTATTAACATTTTATTATAAATCCCTTATGGGCTAAAAATTATATATATATATATCAAACATGGAAAAATACTACACATGCTATTCTGTAACCTGATTTTTTCATTTATTTTATTTTTTAAAAATTTATTGTTGACAGTATTAGAGATGTCCCCTATTCCCTTCCTTTGCCCCCTCCACCCAGTCCCCACCCCATCCCAGGCCTTCCCCACACTATGGTCTGTGTCCATGGGTTATTCATATGTGCATACATGTTCTTTGGTTACTCTCTAACTTGATTTCTTTTTAACTGAATAGTATGTCACAAAAATATTTACACTCTCCTGGAGTCAGCATAGTGTGGTGTTAGCATCCTGTGCCCTGAAACTTGATGGTCTTGTTTCAAATACTGATGCCATCAATCACTGCTCTATGACCTTGGGCAAATTATATAACCCCTCTGGTTCTTCAATTTCCTCATCTGTAAAATGGGCATAATAATGATGGGACTGACTACATTGGGTTATTATGAAGAGTAAATATGTTAATACAAAGAAGCCCATAATACAGTGCCCAGCACATGGGAACCTCTCATTAAATGTTAGCTATTTTCTTTCCATGTCCGTACATGTACTTCCACATCATAATTTTATTGCCAGCAGATTACACTATTGTACTAGTATGTGAGCACTCTTCTGCTTTTCCTTTGGTGTTGTGGTTATGTATATGTGCTTCAATGCTGTGTAAGCTTTAATGCTGTGATCTTATATACCAGTGATGGTGAACCTTTTGAGGTCAGCGTGTCAGCATTTTGAAAAACCCTAACTTAACTCTGGTGCCGTGTCACATATAGAAATTTTTTGATATTTGCAACCATAGTAAAACAAAGACTTATATTTTTGATATTTATTTTATATATTTAAATGCCATTTAACAAAGAAAAATCAACCAAAAAAATGAGTTTGCGTGTCACCTCTGACACGCGTGTCATAGGTTCGCCATCACTGTTATATACCAAGGAGTTGGAGCTGTACGGCACGTCAGAGCAGAGTGCTGAGGAATCTGTTAGCCCTCTCGCTGGAAGAGGGCCTGGACGTTAGTAGGGGGGGGGGGAGGAATGGGCTGTCTTCGTAGCTATGGTACCCAGTACATAGGGGTGATGCAGGGACTGTGCATGAGCTTCATGGAGCTGGGTCTTGGATCTACTACTTTCTGAGCATCAAGATCAAGCTACTTAACCTCTCTCTTGATTTCCACATCTATAAAATTACAATGATCTTAGTATTTACCTCCTTGGGTCCTTGTGAGTGCTGAATTAGATCGCTGATGTGAAGAGTTTGGTGCTTGCTCCATACTTGGCAACTTCTTAGAAATATTAGATACTATGAGAAATAGGGAGCTACCATAAAACATGATGCATTACTATTCAGAGACACGTATCACACACACACACACACACACACACACACACACACACACACATATACATTCACACACAGGTTGTCTATGGGACAGTTATTTGATAAATTGTGAATTTTATACCTCTTTTTCATTATGTTTCTATTAGCTTCTGACTGGTTATTACACTACTGTGTCTCAAATTCATACCTACTTTTTATACTCTGCTCTGTGATGCTGGTGCTGGGACTCTGCAAACCCCTCTCTCCTTTGCCAGCTGGGTCAAAATTAGGCTCTGCCAGTAGGGGGTGCTAGATGGGAAAAGCAGGAGGGAAGAGATGTGCTTCCTCCTGACAGGGCCACCCCAACTTACCTTCGCAGTGGCAGTTGATTTCAATAGAGCAAGTAACTCTGGTTTTCATGTTTCTCACACTCAAAACCAGTCTCATTGTCCCTCCTCGGAGACTCCAGCCCAGGGCAGTTGGTGTGCCCTCCTCAGAGGTCTGGCTTCCATCTCTGTGAGCAGCCCCACACTCTCCCCTTTGTTCCTCCAGCCCAGGAGGCCAGAGCTGCTTCCTGCAGTCATCTCCTGGAAACCTCAGTATTCCCCACACAACCCACCCCCCACCCCATTATATGTCAACATTTATTGGCATGTAAGGTACACATGTATGTATTGTATATGTATGTGCATATGTATGTGTATATGTATCTGTATCTGGATATGTATATCAGTGGTTTCCACAGGAAGTTGTGAACAATTCTTTATACTAAATTATCTCTGTTAAAATAATTGATGTGGTTTCTGTTTTCTGACCGGATCCTGTCTGACCCCACATGCAAAATTCTCTTTCCCTAAAAAAGTTGAAAGGACACATTTTATAAGTGAAGGTGTCGACATTGCTCTGAACAAAGGATGACTGGTCTTTATCCTGATGCCCTTGAAGACTCTCTGCAGGAGACCTGGGTCAGCAGGCCACCTGGCCCCGGATGCTCTGGGCCATGGAGGGCAGGACTGTGTGTGGTGGGCTGGGGCTGCCATGAGGTGTGGGGAGGAGGCAGGCAGGGCTAAGGCTTCAGTGTGAGTGGCCACATCTTGAAAAGCAGAATCCTTTCAGACAGGTGGAGAGAAGGAAGAGGAAAAGAGAAAGCAGGAGAGCTGTGGTGACTTCTCAAGTCAAAAGTTTCTGTCTCTAGCTGATCTTGCTCAGTGGTTAGAGCAGTGGTTCTCAACCTTCCTAATGCTGTGACCCTTTAATACAGTTCCTCATGTTGTGATGACCCCCAACTTCATTGTTACAAATGGAACATAATTAAAGCATAGTGATTAATCACAAAAACAATATGTAATTATATATGTGTTTTCCGATGGTCTTAGGCGACCCCTGTGAAAGGGTCATTCGGCCCTCAAAGGGGTTGCGACCCACAGGTTGAGAACCGCTGGGTTAGAGTGTCTGCCTATGGACTAAAGGGTCCCAGGTTCGATTCCAGTCAAGGGCACATGCCTCTGTTGCAAGTTCGATTCTGGTTGGGGGGGGAAATGAAAAAATATCCTTGGGTGAGGATTAACAAACAAACAAACAAAATTTCCGTGAAGGAGGAATTAATGGTGAGTGGAAAACTGGTCACCCAGGGCTGACAGAGGGTGGGGGTGGGGAGAGGCAGGGAACAGTGTCGGCCTCTCATTTATTTACACACAATGAAAAAGGCCTGCACAATAGGTTGGTCAACATCACTTTTCTGCTTCACTGGTTTCTAAACAGACTCATTGCTTCCCTGCTGAGAGATTACTTCCAGGGGCCTGTTTCAGGTCACTCAGCATAGCCTCCTTACTTGGTGTTCAGTTCCCGACTCCCTATGTCTCTCTCTCTCTCTCACACACACACACACACACACACACACACACACACCTTTATTCACAGGGAGCACTAGAAATCTGCTGGCTTCAGATAGACACCCCTCCCCCAACGTTGGTCCTGCTCAGAGCAGATCTGACCAGTGGGGCTTCAAGAGAGCATCCTATGATGCTGCCATTGCCCTCTGACCTTGGCTCTCTGTTGCCCAGGATGCCTTTATTGAGTTCGAGGAGCCAGGTGGTGCTGCTGATGGGGAAGGCAGAGGGGCTCTGGTGGGGGAGAGTTGGATGATTTCCGCTACCAGGCTGCCCTGGGGGTTTTATGAGTCAAAGCTGAGAAGCTCCTATCTTTGTCTTGGAAATTAATTCTTGGCTAAAAAAAATAAAAATACTTTTTCCACCTTGGGAAAAGATTCCATAGAAAGAACAAAGCATCTAGTGTCACCAGTGATTTTTTTTTTTTTTTTACAAAATACACTTTTAATATTGGAATAATTTCAGTTTTCCAGGAGAGTTGCAAAGAGAGTACAAAGAATTTTCATATACTTTCCTAGTTTTCCTGGTTGTTAATATCTTACATCACCATGGTACATTCATCAAAACGAGGACACCAACACTGGCACGTTACTGCTGTCAACTGAACTCCAGTATGTATTCAGATTTTGTTAGTTTTCCCACTATTGTCATTTTTCTGTTCCAGAATCCTATCCAGGACACCACATGACATTTAGTCATTGTGATTCTTTAGCATCCTCTGGTCCATGACAATTTCTCAGTCTATCCCTGTTTATTTTTTTAAAATATATTTTTGTTGATTTCAGAAAGGGAGCAAGAGATAGAAACATGAATGATGAGAGAATCATTGATTGGCTGCCTCCTGCAGGCTCCCCACCAGGGACCGAGTCCATAACACGGGGAGGTGCCCCGCCTGTGAATCAAACCCTGACCTCCCACTCAACCACTGAACCACTAGGGCTGGTCAGTCTTTCCCTGTTTTTGATGACTTTGATAGTCTCGAGGAGTACTGGCCAGGTATTTAACAGAATGTTCCTCAATTCGGGTCTGTCTGATGTCTTTCTCATGCTAAGACTGGGGTGATGTGTTTTTTTTTGGGAGAAAGACCACTGAGGTGAAGCATTCTTCTCATCACATCCTTTAAAAAGCTTTTTTAAAAAAATTTGAGATATAATGAACATATAACATTATATTTATTTCAGGTGTACCACATGATGATTTGATATTTGTAAATCTTATTAAATAATCACACAATAAATCTAGTGAACATCTGAAACCATACATAGTTATGAAATTAATTTTTCTTGTGATGAGAACTTTTAAGATCTCTCTTAATACAGTATTAACTAGAGTCACCATGCTGTACATTAAATCCCCATGACTTACTGCTTTTACAGCTGGAATTTTGTACCTTTTGGCCTCCTTCACCCTTTTTGCCCACCCCACCCCCACCTCTGGCAGCTCATCACATCTTCCTATGTGTTGTACCCCATGCTGTCAGCATGACATCACACTGGTCCCACCATGATTTTGAAGGCAGTGGGCAGGCCTCCTGCAGATGGGCACCTTGATTTGGATTCCTTCCCTCTGGACACAGAAGACCATGGACTGCTGATCAGGAAGGACCCCACAAAGCTGAGGGCACAAATGGGAAGAGCTCCAGACTAGAAGTCACTTCTGAATTGTGTAATGGTGAGTGAGAGTCTTTAAACCTCGCTGTCCTCAGTTTCCTCATTCACCAAGCAG